TGAATTTGATAGAATGAATGAATGAAAGACCTGAGTCTTAGACCAGGTGGAGCTTGTCAAGGAAAAGGCTTGTGTCCTTTTCAATTATCCCCAACACGAAGGCCAATGCCTGGCACCTGGGGAATGCCCAATAAATGCGGCTGAATGAAGTCACACTTCTCAAATCTCTCACAAGGACTACCTAGGACAGTAAGTACCCAATAAACACCTTATAATTACTGATCCCAATATCACCGACTTAAAAATCAGATCGATTCCCATAGGAGTGGGGAAAACACGGAGTGGTGAGTATGGAGGAAGCAGTAGGAGACAAAGCCCAAACATAGCAACAAACTTATACGAAGTCCTGATGCAGGGGCTTGCATTTCACAATGACCTCGGCCGGCGCAGGAGGAATGCCACCCACCTTCGGAACACAGAGCATCTTTCTTGATGTCAAGTCTTCTCCTGACAACAAGCTCTTTCCTGGGTCCCTGTGTGACATCACATCTGTAGTTTACAAAAGCGTTACCTTATTCTGCCCCTTATTTGGGTAGTTTGAGACTTTTATAGGAAGTTGGACCAAAAGATGGCATGTGGTGATAGAGACTGCCGACTGGCCTTCTGTGCTCTCAACTGAACTTTTCTAAATTGGAGGTTCTAAATGGAATGATTTGTTAATTTCTCAGCTATGAACATTTTTCTTTTAATATGGAATGTCTGCAAGCATCTGTGCTGGAGGCAATCATCATTGCGGCAAATTGCTTTGTTTCTCTGTTTCGATTTCCTCCTCAGTAAATGGATACTCTGATTTACTCCACAGCACTGTGATGAAGGTAAAGAACATAGCATATAAAAGCTTCTCAGAGAGGGATGTGATGGATCACAGGGTCACCAGAAAGAATACTTACTGTCAGTGTGAGCAGCCATTTGGATAAGTCCTTAACTTAGCCCTGCAGAGCCAACGATAATGTTTATGGCAGTTATTGTCGATATTAGTCACAAAAGAATGACTTGCATTTGCATGTTCTCTTACTTTTCAAAATGCTTCGATTTGATAGATAACTTAATTCCCAAATTCACCTTTGCAGTGAACCAAAGATGTCATCACAATTTCACAGTGAAGAAACTCCAGCCAAATGATGGAGGGACACTAAGTTCAGGTCACATTTACCAGAATCCATTCTTGGTTCTTCGGATCTAGATGGACCCCAACACCTTTGCTCTTCCTTAACTCCCCGCTCTGCGACATCCCATCCCTTCCACAAGTCTGATGTCTGTGAGCTCCAGCGCTGCCTTAAAAAAGTGTTGCCATCTTTAATGAACCACAAAACCATCCTCCCTTCCCTTATTTTCTGAACCTTCATTCACTGAGATGAAATGTCAGACAAAAAGAACTATTTGATAAATCTCTGATCCAACTTTGCTGTTCAAAGAGTTTAAACATATTATATGACGCCAACCCACAGTTACCAATTCCCACTCTGCACCTTGTTTTCAGGAGGAGAGGGATATAAATAGAGTTTCTATACCTACCTCACTCAGGCACCAATAGCATGGTATATTTATAGATTTATAGATGCTATCTGTGTAAGTGGAATCCACACACATAGATATATGTACACCTATGTCAGCTTTAATAATATAGTACATAATAATATAGCTTTACATATGAAGTAAACTTGACATAAAATAAGTTTTTAAAGTTTATATATATGTGTATATATAGGTGTCTATATACATACATATACATACATATGTGTCTTACACCTGCTAAAAGTAAAGCTTCCTCCATCAGTGAAATAGACAATAGTAATAGTGAGTACATCATAAAGCCATCATAAGGACTAAATGAATTAATATTTACTAAACACTTAGAATAGTCCTTAATACATAATACACACTCAATAAATGTTATCTGTCATTGCAATTATTATTTATTTTATATATTATAAGAGGATTCCTCATTTTTAAACATCATTCACTAGAGAGTGTGTTAAATACTTAATTTCTCCAATGCATCAATTTTAAAAAATTATCAATATCTATTTTCCAATGAGACTTTCAGAAAAACATTTTTTTTTGCTGAGGTGGCATATTATCTTCCTTACAAGACACTTACAGTATGTGTAATAAATGTACCATAAGTCGAATCAGATACCCCTGAAGAAATAAAAGCAAGCTGTTAATTCGGAATCTTAGTAATAATTATTTTATACCATAAGACCTTATTCTATTCTTCAGTGACAGTACTATAAATAAATACATATAATTTATATCCTAAAATTGATTCATCCTCAATTATGCCTGTTTAATTCAGCATTGTTTTCAGAAATAATGGCACTGGGAAAGATTCAACTACATTTACATTGGTGCATTTGTGTCTAAGTTCTAATACAAAAGTAGTCGTCATTCAGGAGAACTTGAATGTCCACAGCCCATGACTCTAACAGTCACATTGGAAATGCTCCTCATCCATCACTATCAAAACATGGTCATGGCTGCGGGATGCCTGGGTGGCTCAGTCGTTAAGCATCTGCCTTCGGCTCAGGTCATGATCCCAGGGTCCTGGGATCGAGCCCGGCATCAGTCTCCCTGCTCAGCAGGAAGCTTGCTTCTCCCTCTCCCACTCCCCCTGCTTGTGTTCCCTCTCTTGCTGTGTCTCTTTCTGTCAAATAAATAAATAAAATCTTAAAAAAAAAAAAAAAACATGGTCATGGCTGGACTGACTAACATTCTCCCAACCAGGTGCACCCAAAATGAGAAAAAATAACCAGAACAGCTAGTTAAATTCCTCCAAGGAAGAATGGGGTCCTGGAGGTATTTATTAAGGGTTGCTTTCTTTAGCTCTGATTCTTTCTTCACTACCTTTGAAAAGTCATCCTTCCTTTGAACCCTACCAGTTTGCATGAATTCTGGTGTATTTAGAATAGAGATGGAGCAAAGTTTTCTCACATGTGTTCCACAGGACACTAGTGCTACAGACAGGTGCTATTTTTTAAAATATGTGTATGTGTGTGTGTGTGTCTTTACACACACACACAGACAAACACATAAACAAATCAAGAGTATAGATAAAGATAAATAAATCAAGATTTCCTGGTCAAATAAAATTGAAAAACACTAAGCTAAACAGAGTTTATCAGATTTTTTATCATGTAATTTCTGGTGATTCTTAATATGTTACTGTGACTCTCTAAGAGGGAGATTGCCAGACCACATCCCTCAGACATATCTACCTATAGACTCCCCATCTCACAAAGTATCTTTGTAATTCCAATGTTCCAAGGAACACGCTTTGGGAACCTGCTTTAAAATATGGTATATCGGGGTGCCTGGGTGGGTTAAGCATCTGACTCTTGATTTTGGCTCATGTCATGATCTCAGGGACCAGGATGGGCTCCACGCTGTCCTGGAGCCTGCTTAAGATTCTCTCTTCCTCTGACCCTGCCCACCCCACCCCCCGCCACATGCTTTCTCTCTAAAAAATAAAATTTTTAAAAAGATAAAATATGGTATACCACATATTTCACATCTTTTGCTTGCATCCCCTTTCTCAATTATGAATAGAATTACTTCTTCTCTATTGTATTTTTAGTAAATTCAGGATTTTGCACTTCTACAGATGAGAGAATCTATTTACTACATTAAAAACATTTCCTCCTCCTCCTGCAATTGACCATTACAGATTTCTGGTTAGTTGTTTTAGAATCACTTCAAGCAAAGCAATAGGTTCGGTAACTGAAAAATATCAGTTGTACTAACTCATAATTAAATAGCAAATTAAAATATCCCGGAATCAAAATTTCACATAGCCATGGGTTTACCCACACATTTCTCTCCAACCAAATGGCATGAAGTTGAACTTAAGATTGTCATGTGCACACCAGTGTGCAGATGCCACTATCCCCCCAGGGAACTATAGCAACCACCCCTGATAACCTGTTTGTTGTCTTACAATAAAATCGTGTTAATAAATAAATAACAAAAACATATTTATTATAAAATCATAGTCTGGAGGAAGGCACGCTCTAAAGCTTGGGGATCTTTTTTGTTGTTGTTGTTCTTTAAAGTGCATTACCCCCTAGGGAATGCTAAGAAATCAAATCATCCTCAAAGGACTAAACAGATTTCTAAATGTTAAGCAGTTACTAGTTAAAACATTTCATTCCTATTAAAACTTTGAGACTTAAATTTGGACTTGTAGACTTGATGGTAAGTCTTGAATACGGGCATACTCTATATATTAATTTGAACTGAATGGGGAAAAATGCAGTAGGATTTATAAACATTCTTTATCGGACTTTCTGAATCCAAGCCTGGGTAAAAAATTGCAAGGAACTTGAATGAAAAATTACACATGGATGTATTGGTTTCGTTGATTTGTGTTTCTCTTTCAAAGCTGACAAAAGAATACTACATTAAAAAAACATAAAATCATTTGTTAAAATTAGTCTCTGCATTAAATCATGGTAAAAAGCTGCTGTTGAACCTACATTAACTGAGGTAAAAAATATTGCCTAAAATGACCAATTTGATAGAATGTTACCTAAGGTTCTCCAGTGGTTTTTTTTATTCAAAAATAAGAAAACTCAGTATCTCTTTTGCATTAAAATGAGTTCCAAGTGTTTCAGGACCTCAAAGGAGGATCCAGCTTCAGGTTTCTGACATAAAAAACCCTAATATAGTCTGAAGAATTCCCCTAGGCACATCAGGAGTAATCAAATTCCATGTTAACTATTAAGTTACAGACATTCAATTATGTTTTCCAAACCTCTGTTTAGAGATTCAAAAGGCCCTTAGAAAACATCCTTAAACCAAAGCTCAAGTTGGCAAATGAAACCGTTTACCTGTGAGAGCAAAACAAAAAGGGGTCCAATCCCCACAGGCACATTGCGAAGTGGCACGCGATGTACCCCATCCCCATTGTGAGGCACAAATTCTTTGTGACACTGGGAGACACCGCAGAACAAAAATACTATTAGAAATGCTTCAAAAGGAACATTTTTGGCTGCGATAGAGACTTTTGACATTATTTATTAGGTTCAAAACTGCTTCACAAAAGCCTAACAATGGTTCTGTGGAAACCAGTACATCTGAGGCCTTTTCTGTTGTTCTGGGCAGGCATTGATTTGAAGATGGGCAGCACCCGCGGACAATTCCCTCGCAGCGGTCAATGTAAGTGAGCATTCACCCCCGGCCTAGGAGGGGCCTGTGAACAAACCGTATGGAAACGCTGGGGTGGGCGGGCGGGGGGAGAAGAGCAAACCTTGATTAACTTCTTTGAGGGGAGATGGGTGGGAGCACCGGCGAGCAGAGGAAGGGACGCTCCTGCCAGATTGCCGTGGAGGGAGGCGTCCACCCTGGGCTCCCTTTTCCCCGGGGGATGAGGATGCTTGGGGAGCATCTCCGGTGCCATGGCAACTGCGCCTCCTCCAGCCGGACTTAGGGGCGCGCCCCGGGGTCGGCTTTGGCGATGGGGGTCCGCCTGAGCGCCTCCTGAGGCTGCCTTCCTGTCCTCCAGCTCTGGCTCCGAGGAACTCCGGGGGTCCTCCGACGAGGCCAAAGGGGTCTGGCTTTTCCTGCAAAGGCCGATGGCGGTGGAATGCCTCGCAGCGGGACCTGGAAGGCAGACAAGGGAGGAGGGGCCCTGAAGTGTGCGGACTTCACCCGCCCTGCCGCGACTTTCAGAAACTCTCTGCTGATAACTGGATGTGTGAGAAATCAACATTTGCAATGTGCTGAGAGAAAAAGAGAGAGAGAGAAACCCCGGACATTCTCCTTTGCCTGCTTCCCTGGCATTGCCTTAAGAAAATAAAAAGCTATCTATTTCCTTCCTGTTGTTTAAAAGCACCCTCTCCAAAAAATGATTTTTACAGGCCCTCATAATACTTTTCATGTCAAGGAAAGCTGTTCAAAATGGCTCAAGAGAGGGAAACAGAAGAATTGGTGACGAAAATAGGGCCACAAATTCTAAACCAGGGAAAAGTTTGAGTGGAAAATAAAGTGGAATTAGAGAGTGGGCAAAGCAAACGGATCCATGGCCCATGTAGACTTCCAACTGATAATTTAAACACCCAAGTTTTTATTAGAAATTTCAACCAGCTGAAAATTAAAACAACCAGGGAATTAATCTGATCCAGATCTACCCAATACATACATACCCACTAATACTAATAATCAATTTGATGTTTTTCTTTATTTGCCCAGTCAAATAATTTTTATGTAAAAGTTGAGATTTTTTACAATACGGTCAACACGGTAAAAGAATATATATATGTATATATACATTTATCTCCTTATGTATAGTTCTTCCCTGAGAAATTATACCCATTGACCTACATAAAGTCTAATTCTTTAGTAGTAAATTAAGACAATTTATGTGCTTTAAATCACTTTCCACAAGTTTTAAAGGGCTTTGAATAGCATGTAGATATATAGAATATTTGGAGCAATCTACAAGAGCATTCACATTTCAAAAAATATGCATGAGATTAAAAATGCACGGTACCTTCTTTACGGTGGGTGTCAAACAGCCAGTCTATATCTAGGCAATTCAATTAGCTCATTACATACTGTCCTGGTATGTATTGGGCATCTCCCATTACACACTCAACATACCCAACATACTCAACATACTCAGATCAAACACTGAAAAACTCTTAGTGACTTTCATTTTTCAGTATAAGAATTATTTCCTGGAAATAAAGGTGGAATGGCATTTCAATATCTCTAAGTAAGTAAAACCTTTCAGAATGCCAAACACACTAACTTTCTGAAAACTAGATGCTTAATAGATATTTGTCGATTTGGATTTGCAGCCATGGCAGATGACCAATTCATTGCTATCAATAATCAGTGCAAGGGAATTCCATAAGAGAACATGGATGTGGTTCTGGAATTTGGAGCAACAGAATGTAACCTAGACAGGTCAAGACAGGTCAAGGCTCTGTCATAAGCAAAGAATAGGGATTCCTTCCCTGAATGCAATTCGGTAATGATGCATTTTGTAACACTCTCTTAGGGAGTGTGGTGTAATGGAATCAACAAGGCTTTGGTGTCAGACCATCGTAGATTCAAATCCTGGCACATCACCTGGCCTAAGCCTCTTTGTCCTTACCTGAACCATGAGGATTGTATTACTTACTTCACAAGGTCACTAATAGGATTAAGTTTGTTCATTCATTTATTCATTCATTAAGATTTGTCTGTTATACGTCTGCCAGTATTCTAGACACTGGAGATCCAGAGAAGCATAAAGCAAGTAATGTCCCTGCACTTACAGAGCTTAACTCTAGTTGTGGAGAAAGGGGGTGGGGATGGGAAAGTAGATGACTAAAGAAGCAAATGAAGAACTGAGTGAGCATCAGCTGGTAATAAATCCAAAGTAGAAAAATAATGCACACATAGGTGACAATTCCAATAAAGACTTGAAGAGAAAAAGCAAACTAGTTAAGTATCTGAGAGAAGAACATGCTAAAAGTAAAGCACCTAGTAAATAGTAAGTGCTCAATACCCAAGAGCTGTTGTCATCATGTTTAAAATCAGTATAGGTATACTCTGACCTGGAGTCAAAGTGGAAGCCTTGAATCCTGGCTCCAGCCCTAAAGTTATAGAATCCCCTGGGCTTCAGATTCTGCATCTAAAGCATGGGAAAATAGCAGTTCCTGTCTAAGAGAATGGCCATATGGATCAAAACTGAAGATGTATGTTCAGATTTTAGCACATTGTCTTAAACATAGTAAGACCAAAAAAAAAAAAAAAATGTTAACCAACCAGCATCCTCAGCATCCCATTCTCAATCCCGGCTTCCCAGAAATGAAGCAATCTCTGAATGAGCATCTTTGGTAGCAGGTCTACCAGCCCTTCCTTTGCCACTTCTAGTCCAAGCAGGACATTCTCCTCTAGTTCAAAGAAAATTCTCCTTTGTATTGAGTAAAAATCTGTCTCTTTATTCTATTGGTCAATTCCAATAAACTGCATAAACATATGACGTGAAATCTACCAAAATTTTCCAAAAAACTGTTATGTAAAATTAATCTAATCCTTCTACATGACAGTTCTAGAGCATCTGGAATATACATTGTTTCCTCACATTTTCTTACCTCCAGTCTGAACAACAGCACCATAAACACCACCACCATCTTCCCCACCGCTGTTTGGTCCCTGCTGTGTTCAGTGAACTTCATTTATATCAATCCTCTAATTACAACATCTCTTCAAGACAGTAATTGTTGTTAGTTTGCAGATGAAAATATTGAGCTCAAAGAACACGTATAGGACTGATCATGGCTACTGAACAGAAATGGGAGAAGGTAGAGATTTGAGCCGAGGTGTCCCTGGTTTCAAAGCTCATTCCTTCTGGTCCATTTCCTTATTTTTACTCATTACTCCTAGGAGCAATTTTGAGACACTTTGTCATCATATACATTATTCTGTGCTATGAATTCACAGTTTCCTTACCTGTAAAATGGGGATAATGACATTACCTGCCTAACTGTGTTATGGGAGGGTTTCATAAAATAATATGAAATGCTCAGTACATTGTATGGCCCATGGTGAGAGCTAATTAAATGAGGGCTGGAATGATCATGATAGCAATAATTGTCATCATCATTATTATCTGGTGCAATACCTGAATCATCACATTACTTGTCATCAAATCACACTTGTTCTCTCCTCCAAAACAATACTTGGCAACAAGTAGACTTCCATTCAAAACTGACTAATACAGCTCTTATAGAACCTTCTAGAATAGGATCTGCCATTGAGTCAGTAATTTTACTGTTTATATTAAGTTAAAAACAAAATGTGACCAATTGAAGAGAGAAACAAGGAATTAAGAACCACAAAGTCAGGGCGCCTAGCTGGTGCCATCGGTTAAACATCTGACTCTTGGTTTCAGCTTGGGTCATGATCTCAGGGTCACATCAGGCTCTGCACTCAGTCTGGAGTCTGCTTGAGATTCTCTCCCTCTGCTCCTCCCACTTGTGCTCTTTCTCTCTTCTCTCTAAAATAAATTAATTAATTAAAAAAAAAAAAACAAGCACAAGAACCACAAAGTGATCCTTACCAAGTGGGGCAGAATATCCCCTGGAATTGCAGGAGGGCCGGTTCTGAAGTCTCATGTGCCTATTGATGTGCGTGCCTGCAGCCTCCAGGTGCAAAGGAGTGACTGAGTGGGATCTAATAAGATTTTTTGTCATGTGCTTTGCCAAAATTGGACTGCTCCAGGCCTCACGGGGTGCTCCTCTGGCTCTCTTAATTTCTCGTCTGACAGTGAAGAGCAGTAGGGTCTCATCGAATTGATTGGATGGTGTCTGGGAGGAACTGGCTTCTCCATGACTCTCTTCTTCTGAAGCTGCACTCACAACAGGAGACCTGGGGACGGTGTGTGGGTGGGCATAAAGCAGGCTTTTACATGCCACTGGAGTCTGAATCTTTCCTGGAGACAATGCAAAAGGTAAACATATTAGTTTAAAAGAATGCACTTCAATATTACCTTCAAAATCAATTGTAGAAAGAATGAAATCAGGCAATATATGGATTATTTGTTTGTTTCACATTTCTATACTAAACAAACAGAAATGACAAAGAAGCCAAGGACCTGGGTGCCTAAGTGGGAGAAGTAGAGGAGGGAAAACATATGGCAGGGGAGATAAAAGGCTGAACATGCTTCTGTTGGAAGCACTGTGTGAAGGCCTAGATATGTTGGTCAATCAGTCCTCACACAAACTGTATCTAACAGATGCTATTATTATCTCCATTTTATAGGTCAGAAAGCTAGTTTGAGGCTAATGGGTTGAATTGTGTCCCCCAAGAAGATATGTTGAAGTCCCAACCATCTGCGAATTCTGTGAATGTGACCTTATTTGGAAATGGGGCCTTTGCAGGTGCAATCACATTGAGGTTGTTAGAGTGAGGCCATAATCCAATATGATGAGCGTCCTGATCGGAAGGAGAAACAGACATGGGTGCACAGGAAGAACACCATGTGATGGTGGAGGCAGGGACGGCAGTGGGGGCCTCTCCAAGCCAAGCTATGCCAAGGATTATAGCAACCACCAGCAGCTCAAAGAAGGACATGAAAGGAATTCTCCTTCAGAAACTCCAGAAGGCACCAATCTTGTGGACACCTGGATTTCTGACTCCTGGCTGCCAGAACTGGGAGAAAACAATTTGGTTTTAAGCCATCCCATTTATGATTCTTTATTACAGCAGTGCTAGGAAACAGGTATCCACAATAGTTCCAATTGTCCCAGAGCAGTTATTAACAACAGCCCTTTTTCATGCTGGGGTGGGGGGGAAGGATGTTCAGATTTGGGGAGTTCAGAAAATAAAAAATATTTTTTAAAAAACACCTCTAGGAGCCTGAATCTCACTACCTGTGCAACAGAGATTTCCTAGATGTCTACATTATTAGAAGGTAGAAAAGAGGAAAAAGCCAGGAGGTGGGAAGTGTGGAATGGGAAGGGGAAGGGGGTCTATTGCATGAGTTCTACTGTGTGGCAGAAACAGTGCCAGGGCGCAACAAGTCTTAGCAAGATTCCTATTCCTTGTGCTCAAGCTGTGGGCAAGGTGCAAAGAGGATGCTGGCCTTGTTAGGTACCAGGACACACTCCTCCTAAACCACAGTCTCATCTGCAAAAGGAGGAATCAAAGCAAATGCCTCTGGGGGGCTTGCAGATAACAGAAATGAGAGAAAGGGCCAAGGAGGAGTACGCTGGGAGTATACGTCCAGCCACTTCTCAGACCATGCCTTACATTGCCATGAGGGCAGGTAGGCCCAGTGTAGACAGATTTTTCTGGATTTTCAGGAGAAGCAGAAATATATTTTTATATAGGTAAAAACTTATAATTTTTCAATGTTGGTAGCTCACTCAATTTTTTAAAAAACATACCGTGGGCTCCGCAAAACACATCTGCTCTCTGAATCACCACAGGCCATCAGTTTGCATCTTTGGCCTATGGCCAGCCCTATAAAAGTAACAGTATCATTTGCTTCCCTCCATACCATCTTCATCTCAGAATATGATTTTATAAATATTCAGCTGGGCACCATGGGAATGCATGTGCAAGCTTTGTGAATAAGCAAATTTTAGAGTTCTAGAAGTCTTGCTTACCTCCAACACTTTAGGAAGATTGAGCTTTTATTTTCATTTTAATTGATTGTTTCATTTCATCTTAAAGCCCAGAATTTGAAATGGCACACAAATACATCAGGCTTTCCCAAATGCAAAGCAATATCTAGAATCTTTCATAACAGTAGCTCTGGGACTCTTGATCCCAAAGGAAAATTTACAGCACTAGAACCGGCGGCATTTGATCTGCCCTTGTTCTATTGTTCAAACATCAAGAACGGGATGGAAGTTTCAAAGGCACTTTACGCACCTTCACATCCTAAAAGTTAGGAGTTGAAAGAGGTCTTATAAATCATCTGAGGCTAGCCCCCACCACCCTCATCATGCATCTCTGCTTAAATACCTCTAGGAGCCTATGGGGCGCTTGGGTGGCTCAGTCGGTTAAACGTCTGCCTTCAGCTCAGTTCATGATCCCGGAGTCCTGGGATTGAGTCCTGCATTGGGCTCCCTACTCTGCCTACTCTCCCTCTCCCTCTGCCCCTCCCCCTGTTCGTGTTCTCTTTCTCTCAAATAAATAAAATATTTTTTAAAAAACACCTCTAGGAGCCTGAATCTCACTACTTGTGCAACAGAGATTTCCTTGCTTATTAGAAGAGCAAATAAGTAACATTGTATTTGCAATAAAATAAATATATACATGGATATATGTAATACTATATATGGGAATAATTATTAAAGCCTCCTTGTATGGTGTTGGGACAGATGGTGACTATGCTTATTTAGTTATTCAACCAATATTTCTTGAGCTCCTATCAGATACTAGGCACTACTCCAATGACAAAATACTACCCAGGCCAACAGAATGGATCATTCTGAGACTAAATTGACCAGCTGATTTATAGCAAAATGGACTTCAGCACGGCAATCCAGAGCCTCTCAGTCTCACGGACACTGGAGTGAATTTCAAGCTTCCTTTATCATACAATTACCAGGTTGCCTGAATTGAATAGAACAACCAGTTGTTTTAGCATTAAACAACCAGAGACTGTGGCAAATGGAAGGACATTTTGCAATCTCCAATGGTTTCCAGTCTTTTTAAAAAAGTTTTCAAATTTCCCCACCAAGATAGTGACAGAATTTTAGCCAAAATCCCCTGCTCATGATTTCAAGTACAGTGCTCTTTGCTAGGTCACACATCTCTTGAATCTAATGCAGTATTTTCCAATCCTGGCTGTGCATTAGCCAATACCCAGCATGCTTTGAAAAATACAGATACATGGTCCCAGGACCCCAGGACCTGTGGTTAGTAAGCCCCATGGGGATTATAATGAGTAATCAGGGAAACACTTGTCTAATTCACTCATAGGAAATTTCAGGTACTGTTATAACTATGAGTTAGTCCAAGCAATCACAAACATGCTGAAGCATGAAATCAATGGCGTCTTTCTCCTCAAAGTATTATCTCTCTATGGGCAAGTCTTCATTTCAGAGACCAGCACTCTGTATCACTTTACAGCTTGTATACTCCTTTACATCTTATTTCTTTTCCCATCAGTAATCCCCTTTGAGCCTGACAACAACGCTTTTGCTTCCTCATTTTTCTTAGGAGAAAACTGAAGTCAGCAAATAAGCACCTTGTCCTGACCACTAACCAAGCATCACAAAACCTGGGGTGGGGACCCACATCTTAGATTTTAAGGGGATTTTGTTTTTCTACTCCACAATCAATGCCAGGTTGCCAGAGCAAACTACGGGAACTGGGTTTGATGACAGGAGGGATAGAAGTGCGCACAGAAACAGCTAACAAGCAGTGGCACCTGACCACAGGTCTGACACTGTCCTAGGGTCCATGCTTTGGGCTGTAGTCAAGGCTCTCAGCAGGGCTTCCGATGTGCCAAAGAAGAAAGGGCATCTGCCTATGGCCCAATAACTGGAATTCACTCCGAGGAAAGCCCACATTCTCGAGGCTCCCCCAGCTACCCCTCCAACTTTTCTCACTAGTTGAGGTCCTTGTTTTGTGGGTGTGTTTTTTGCTTAGAAAAAATACTTCCTATTATCCCAGTTTTGCAAGTTCTTTTCATGTGTAGGCAACTCCACCTGTCATCTTGCAGCTCAGGTCTTCCATCTGTTGCTAATTTCATTGAAAGTAATAATGTGGCAGACAGGAGATTTCAAGGTACAATAAAATAAGTCTCAGAGCTGAATGTCTTCCACAGAAGCAATTTATCTTTCTCTTGAGCAGCAAAATAGTTCATGATAAGTCATGACAGATTCTGATTTATTCATTTTATTCATTTTCTAGTCATTTAACTCCTGCACTTTCTGCTCCTCTATAATACCAGCAGGCATGGTGCCGCACCCTTTGCGCCCATGCCTGGCAGCTATCCCTCAATATATAACTCCTATGTGTTTGTATCCCCACACTGTCTCTTTGCTTTCTTGGACTTCTAACTAGCATGTTCATGTTATGGGAGGACCAGAGGCAACTATCCCAGAAGAAGAACTAAAACCCAGAGACAATTAATTCCCCAAAGCTCATTTTGCCCTTGACTGTCAGCACAAATAGGAGCTAAAGCTAATTGATGTCATCTCCTGCATATAAATCAAACACAACCCTTAAATAGGTCTTTAATTAATGTTGAAAACTCCAATATACTCTTTAAAAGGATTCTTAACCACACCATGGAGTTTAATGGAATCTGCCACTTTGCACCATTTCTCCTAGCTGTGGAGTGAGAGTCCTCTGTAAGCCAATGGGTTTGAGTCTACAGAAAGAGGTTGCAATGCGACAAGCCCTGAGCAGTGGTAGAGCTTAAAGACCAAGTGTGCAAGTTCTGCACCCAGACTCCTTGGGCCAAATCTCTCTTACCCCTTCCTGGCTGTGTTACTAGGACCAAGTTGCTCAATTGCCCTCTGTCTTAGTTTCCTCACTCATAAAATGGCAATAATCATAATACCTACTAGGGGGGTTCAAATGCAGCATAAGTAAGTTAATAAACAAGGGCTAAAGCAGTACCTGGCACACAGGAAGTACTCAGCAAGCCTTAGCTGTTATTATTGTTGTTGTTATTGAAAATGTTCCTTCTCCTCTCCCTCTATAGCTCCTGAATGGCCTCTTTCAGTAATAAGGACTCAAGTGGAAAATAGTATTGTCTCCATCCATCTGGAGTTTGCCTCATTTTATTTATTCAAAAATATTTATCGAATGCCTACTTGTGTGTTTTGCCCTGTATTAGGCTCTGGAGGTGCAACAGACTAAAGCAAATGTGGCCCCTGCCTTCATGGAGCTTGCAAGCTCCTGGGGAAGATGACAAAAATAGGCCACAACTAAGCAGAGTTACAAACTGTGGTGAGTGAAGGCAGG